TGACGAACAAGGACGGCGCGACGCCGCAGCGGCAGCAGGAGCAGGAGCAGGAGCAGGAGCAGGAGCAGGAACAGCATTAGCAGCTGCTGCCGAGTTCAAAGAAGAGGAGGAGGAAGAAGAAGAGAAAGAAGAAGGAGATTTGCTGTCGAGATGGTCCCTTAGTGTACCGTTGGGAACGAACTCATAGATCAGAAAGTACCGCTGTCTTTCATTGCAGAAACCGAGCAGCATGACAAGGTTACGATGAGCGATTCTGCCGAGACAGTCGACTTCGTGCAAGAAGTCCCGCTCGCTTCGCCATTGCTCGCGCTTCAGCGACTTGATGGCTGCTACCTCCCCGTCCTTCAGCGTCGCCCTGTAGACCACTCCGCTGCCTCCTTGGCCGATAACCGTCGCGAAGCCGTTCGTCGCCTCGCTCAGCTCCTTGTAACTGAAGCTGCGAAGTCGCTGAACTCCCTGGGGAACCTTTCCCCCCGCCTTGAAGTTCGTGCCGCAGAAGATCCGACTCAACAAGGAGCCGCGCCGCCGAAACGACAGCGCCGCGAGAGCGACCGCGACCATCAGCAGAACGCTCCCGGTCGGGACGGAGATGGCCACCGGCAACACCCACTCCACCGCCCTCTTATGCTTGATCCCCACCCCGCCCCCGTTCGCCGTATCATCAGGTACACGCAGCTGAGCGGACGTCGGCGGGATCGATTGGGATCCGGGGTCGCCGCCCGGCGATGGCATCACCTGTGGCGGGTCAAGAGGGAGTCTTGCCGCCGTGGGATCGATCGGGATCCGGGTGCCGTTGCAGACGGAAGAGCCGAGACCGCTGCACTCGGCACACGCGTCCGGCGAGCTGTCGACGTTAACGATGGGCTGAGCGACGCCCGCCCTCCTCACGCGCTTGCGCACTATGTTGTCCGTCATGATCGCGCCATAGCCGCCGGACACGCATTGCAAGATATCTACCGTCCGATTAGGATTGAACAGATCGACGTCCATGTCCACGTCATCGGGAGACGATGATGACGCTTGATACCCATCATCTCCATCCCCCACCGCCGCCGCCGGCATCTGGCGGAACTTGACACCGCAGAAACGCACGCGATGACACAGAACGCCATCGAGTGCCGACGGCATCCAGATAGGATCGACCTCCATTGCAATCACCGAGATATTGCCCAACACTTTGTAGAAAGTGCAGTTTATGAACGATATTGTCGTGTTCCGCGCCGCCATTGAGGGACCGGGCTTGCTAGCGACAGCCCCGTCGCCGTCGCCGTCGCTGCCGCCGCCGCCCGTACCTCTGAATCCCGTTAACGATGGCATCGATAAGGACGGCCGGGAGGGGGAGGAGGAGGAGGAGGAGGAGGGGGAGGACGATCTCGAGACAGGGTTTAAACTCAGCTTGACGTTCCCTGTCTTCAACATACCACTAGCATCAACCCGTCCAAATTCGCAGTCTATGAATCTCAGACTCTTTTGCTGCCCAACGCCCGTCGACGAGACCGTTAACGACGTCTCCCAGTTGGGGGAGAAGAAGACCGAGCGCGATATGCAAACGGAGGGTGGGAGCTCGATCAATTGCAGCCCCCGTTTGATTTCCGCAAAGTAGCACCTGTCGATCACCACCGAACGCCTCGGATAAAGGGCTTCGAGATGGTCGTCTTCGTCGCCATCGCCGTCGCCATCGCCGGCAATTAGTGGGGGATATGCCATGGACAGCTCCGAGCCCATGCCAAAGACGCAGTTGTGCAGCTCGATTCGGCTGTTGTTAAATTGCAGGCAAACGGATCGAAACTCGATGTTGTACATAGCTAAAGATCCCCATCCTAACTGCCCATCATGGATCCAGCAGCGGAGCATGTCCGTTGCACCGTCGATAACGCACCGCCGATCTCCACAGTCACCCTTCAACGTCACGTTCGCCTCGATGTTCAGCACCAATGGCCTATTGAATCCCCTGAACGACACGTCCGTCGTCAATATAACCGTTATGGACGGCTTAATTGCCCCCACGGGCGACATAAGCGCGTCCAGCAGGGCTGCTTCATTCGATACCCGCGTGATTTCCCCCTCAAATTCTCTCCCCTGCTGCTGCTGCTCCCTCGCTTGCAATCTTCTCAACCCGCTCCTCCTATTCCTTCTTCTGCTATTCTTACTGACCGCCGCCATCCTTACGCTTCTGCTTATGGGATCGCTTTGCCATTCCTCCATAAACTTTATTTCTGCTTCTCTCTCCTTCTTTGTTGTCGTCCGCAACATGTGCAAGCACCCATCGCTGCTGTTCCCCATTCCTTTCCGTGACGATGACGGGAAATTGCAATCCGACAGCTTACCTGCACTCTCTACCAGAACCTGCTGCTGCTGGTCGGTGCCTTCTGCTTCAACCCCGCCATTACGCTGCTTGTCGTCTGCTGATACTGGCAGCAAACGTGCGTCTCGCGTCCTGCTTTCAGCCCCGGACACCGACGACCTCCCCGCTAAGCCTTCCAGTTTTCCTTCCTCCTCCCCTGCAATCTCACCTCCTCCACATCCACGACTCGCTGTGACCTTGTCGTCCGTCAGTTCCCTCCGATGACTACTGACATGGGCCCTCACGGCCGAGGCGGCAGCTTGCCAATGGATCCCCGGGACCCTCATCCACCTACTCATTCCCCTCTCCGCCCCTCTCCCACCATCACTCTGCGATTCCGACGTCGTTTGGCTCCAGAACCACAACCAGGACCTCCGTGGGGTACCGGACCGTGTTCCTGCTTCTACACGGTGCCTGCCACTTCCTCCACAATCCGGTTCCCGACGCATTACATTCCCTCCCGGTCTCCATTTCTCATCTCTGAGTTCTATCTGCCATAACGATGACGATGACTGGCTGACGCCATCGGACGGTGGGAAGACAAGAAGTAGCAGGATTAAGCGCCGGAGCAGCAACGCCATACCCAACGTCCCCATTTGCCATCCAACATCCCCTGCAGCAGATTGCAAATCGCGCCACTTTCAAGAACCTACATTGGTTCAGCGGCTTCAGCCTTTGCATTCACTAACCCCTCGCCCTTCTCCTGGCTGCCGTCCTGCCCGTGTCCTCTCTCTCTCTCTCTCTCTCTCTCTCTCTCTCTCTCTCTCTCTCTCTCTCTCTCTCTCTCTCTCTCTCTC